CAGGTGCCTAATAAGTGCTGAGACTTGCAAGACCACCTGGGCAGATGGGTTGATGCCCTCTGGTGAGCACCCCCAGCAGCCAGGCCCCTGTCCACGTGTCTGCCTGCTCCTGCTTGTGTTTGATTGTCACAATGCTGCTTTCCAGGGACACCGGCTCCCATCCCTCCTGTCGAGAAGGACAGACACAGCAAGTGCCTGGGAATAAGGCATTTGCCAGGTGGCACAAGTGATGAGGGTCAGAGCTGGGATTTGAACCCGGATCATGGAACTCTACATGGGGGAATGCAGGTGTGGGGATACCCATAAAGGAAGGAAGGGTGGCCCAGCCTCACTGAGCCCAGCTGCTCCCTGCAACCCTGGAGGAAACTGCTCTGCTCTCGGGTGGGGAGAGGGCCCAGGCGGCCAGGCCTCCCCTTGCTTGCTGGCTCAGGGGATCACAGTGGGACAAGGAGATTTAGAGTGTATGTCTTCTTTCCTTTTCCTATTTCATTCAAAAGTTCATTTAGTATCAAGGAAGAGGAGCCTTAGCTTAACCCTGCAGATCAGGCAAGACTTGAGTTACAAAAGAATACATTCTTTTTGCACTTCTAATTCTCTTCTCCTCTACTTTTGTTGGCAAGAGCACGTCTGTGTCCCAGGTTCGGAATCCATTTTTCATCCCACATCAAAGCGCCTACTGTTTGGGTGAGCACCCTGGAGCCTGGCCGCGTGGAGCTGTGTGGCAGGAAGGTCCCCACAGAAGGGTCACGGCACCACTGCCCAGGTCCAGCTCAACTCTGCTGCCAGGGTTGCCTGTTCTGGCTCCCTGGGGCTTGCAGCGTCCTGTTCCCAGGATCTGCACATAGGGGTGCCTTTCTGCATCTCTCCGTCAGTGGTAGGTGCTCCTCCAAGCCCCCACGGCTTGCCAGCCTGGAGACAGCGGCCTGCACCCCGCCCCTGTTGCATGCCAGCTGAGAGGAGCCTGGGCCAGAAGCCCCACAGCGGTTGGCTGTGGCTTGGACACCGGTTGGGGGCAATGGGGCAGGGGCTGGCCGCCCAGCCCCAATCCTATGGCCCCTTGCTCTGGGTGGGGACCAAGGAGGAGCGGGTGGGGAAGGTGTCTCAGGCAGGCCCTAGGGACCGTGGGCGGCTTATGTTCCACGATTTTGAGGCCATTTGCAGCGAGCTCCACCAGCCTGCCCTTCCCCTGCAGCCGCCACCACCCGCACAGCACTGCCACGAGTGTATTCGGGGCTTTCTTCAGAGAAGACTGTCAGCATCCTCAAGTTCCAGGTGCTCTGACCCCAGTCCTGCTTCTTGACGCTTTTTCCCAGGGGCTGCCTCCCCTTTTCAATGGCCTGAACCTTGGCCAGTTCCCACGAAGTTTGACGGGAACACAAGGCTGTCACTGGCATTTGTGGCACTATAACTTACAGGCACGTGTGTTGCACACATCGGACACTGTGCCACATGCAGTGACACCATCTGAGGTGCGCACGCCGCACGCGCACGCCGCACGCCGCACGCGCACGCCGCACGCGCACGCCGCACGCGCACGCGCACGCCGCACCGGCTTGGCTTGGCGTTCTGCACATGCGTGTGTAACGGCTTGACTTGGCGTTCCTCGCTTGGCTTGGCGTTGGTCGCTTTGCTTCCTGGTCCTTGTGTGGATTGGCGTTTCCTCCCTCGGCATTCCTTTGCTGGGCTTGACCTTTTCTTGGCTGGGCTTGGCATTCCCCTGGCTGGGCTGGGTGTTTCCTTGGCGGGTGGGTGGAGGGGCTTGGCCTTTCCCCGGGTGGGTGTGGGCTTTCCCCCGGGGTGGGAGTGGGATTTCCTCAGGTGGGTGTGGCCTTGCAAATACTGCTGGGCTTGGCCTCTCCCCGCCTGGGCTGGGCTCCGCTGGTTTGGTGGGTTTTGGCTGTGCTTGACCTTTCTCCTGTAACAGATTGGAAACCTAGAGTTTCTTGCTTGTTGGTGAAATTTGTTGGCAGAGGTGATTGGCTAGCTATTACCTGGCTCCCCAGGCTGGTAAAAGAGGATGGGGGCTGAGGTTTTTTCAAAGCCGGCTGCATCCACTATGAAGAAGCCTTTTGGCCTCAGCGGCAAGATGGGCAAGTGGTGCTGCCACTGCTTCCCCTCCTGCAGGGGGAGTGGCAAGAACCACGTAGACTCTAGGGGAGACCACGACGACATCGCCTGTTTGGAGCCAAGGTAACACGTCCGTCGAGAAGATCTGGGCAAGCTCCACGGAGCTGCCTGGTGGGGTAAAGTCCCCAGAGCGGATCAGAGGCAGAATGTGTGGGGATGCGGGTGGGGATTTGCCCTTCTGTGGGATGGGCGAGGGCTGACTTTCTTGCCTCTGCAGGCCCCACAGCACCCTGGATGTGGAAACCTCGGAGAGGTTGGCGCAAAGGCCTCTTTATGAGCAGCAACACAAAAAAATTTTAGCTGATTTCCAATCAATAATAATTTCCTTTACATAACACTTAATAGACTGTTTTAAAGTGGTTTAACTTGCAAGATTAAGTCGATGCAGCAGATTATTTTTAATGTACACATTTAAAACAATGTTATATGCATTATAGAAAGGTGTGTAATGAGAAATAATTCCCATAATATATCGACTTAGGGCTAAATATTCTTTAGATAAAATCCAATGTGCATTTTAGGTCAATGTATCGCTATATAAATATGTTCTTCACTGAGGAATCTTAGAAAGAAACTGAAATGGGAAGATGGTTCATGTCCTTGAATAGGAAGATTCATTTTTTTCAAGATGTGAGTTCTTTATGTATCACCTTTCCCTAAGCCCAAATAAAAATATCAAAGTTTTAACATTTTTAAGTTACACATGGTATCTTTTACTATTGTGATAAATTAGTGTTTTGTAACAGAATGGAAAAAGACTTGCCTTTCTAGGTATCAAAATGTACTAATATTTCCACAAATTGTTTACCAGCAACTGAAAAGACATAAATGAATAGAACAGAATAGAAAATCCAGAACTACCCAAGTGCATGTAAGAATTTAGAAGTTGATAATGGTCACATTTCATATTACTAGAAATGTAGCAGGACGAGCCGCAGACAAAACTCCTTAGACACCAGATTAAAGAAGGAAGAGGGTTTTTATTTGGCCGGGAGCGTCGGCAGACTCGTGTCTTAAGAGCCAAGCTCCCTGAAAAAGAAATACTTGGCCTTTTTAAAGGCTTACAACTTTAAGAGGTCCACGTGAAAAGGTAGTGATAAATCGAGCAAGCGTGGGAAACGTGACTGGGGGCTACATGCATCAGCTAACAGAACAAAAAGTTTTACAATGCTTTTTTTCATACAGTGTCTGGAATTTACAGATAACACAAGTAGTTCAGGTCAGGGGTTGATGTTATTATTACTTTTTTTTAACTCCCAGGGCTGGATGGTGGTGCCAAGGTTGTCTGGCTATTTATCTTACTTTTATTTCTTTCTAACTTTTTGCTTTCTCTTTTTCCTCCTGTCTTGTGAACTAAGCAAGGTAGGAGGAGGCAGCAGGAGTAGTAGTGGTCTCCTTCCTTAGCCCCCACTTTGAGAATGTTCACTAATTAGTGGGAGTTCTCACTTTTATTTTTACTTTATGAGTCTCCTTGTGAGACAGAGCGATAGTGTTTTATGTAATACACTTGTGCTGAAGTTTTCTGATGAACCATGGTAGCTACAAAACTTTTTATCATTTGAAGAAGTAACTGTCATACACAGGGGAGCAGCAAGCAAGTTTCTATTACTAGTAATACACTTACAGTGAGGGTTTTAAATTTTCTTATAGCTGGAAACTATTTTCTAAATAAAGACCTAGGATCAAACCTGTGTTAAACCTGTACAGGCACATGTATCAGCTTTGTCATGTCCT